AGGAGAACATGTGAGGAAAAAGGCAAGCAAAAGGCCTTCTTTTCTGCAGCATATCACACGTGTTAACCTTGCCAAGGAAAAATGGCCCAACAGAAGGTTTGAATTTTTGGGGGGATAGGCTTACTCCAAATTTCTTTTATAGGGAATTCCCCAACCGGGTTGCTAGGTGTGGCCAGAACATTAAAGGAAGGGGAACAAGAGAAGAGGCCATCTGAGGAGCCTTTCCAAATTCTAGAATCTTCCAAGGATGGGTCCAAATGAACTTGTCCTATTAGATTCAGCAGTTGAATTAAAGAGGCGCATTCATTTTCCCTAAGGCCCTTCCTGAAACCCAGATTCCAATTGACCCCACTTAGGCTAGGATTACCCAAAGTGCTTACTGTTTTCCCTTTGAAATTTGACTAAGTGTATAGATTAGGGAAGAGGTCTTTGAGTGGACTATCTCCCACCCAAAGGTCTTCCCAGAAACGAACTTTATTACCCTGGCCCACATCAAACCGAATGGAATTAAGGAATGTTGGGTAAATTTCATAAATTGCTTTCTAAGGAGAAGATGAGGAAACATGAGGGGAAACTTTTGCATCCCAAGCATTTCCATCCAAACCATGAATACTCACAATGACTTTTAATCGGGGATCGGGGGTGTTTTTAGAGATGAAAATGGGGTCATCTCTGCTATGTTCTCAGGCCCAATTGGAGTGGGTGACTCCCTTAGAGCTGAGATATGTGTAGTTATGGAAGGAGCCCGGAAAGCTAAGGAATTGAACATCAAGAAACTTATAATTGAAGGGGATTCAGAGGTGGTGATAGAGTGGCTGACTAAAGATCAAAATGATTTATGGAAGTATAATAATGAGAAGATGAAATTCAAATGGCTGGTGCGGGAGATGGAAGTTAAGACATGTTGGATTAAAAGATTAGCTAATTCCCTAGCTGACGGTTTAGCAAAACAAGGGGCAGAAAGGGATTCTTTGTTTTGGGCTAAGYTGTAACGTTAGTGTCTTTGTATCTTTGTATTTTCTTTTTTCATTTCTTGAAGTTCTTTGTGACTCTTGGAAGATAAGTGTGTTTGTCTTCCACTTGTAAATTTTCTACTGATGAATTAATGAAAGTGTTATTGATAGAAAAAAAAAAATACTCACAATGACTTTGTGCCACATCCTATCTCTCTCAAATGGGAATCTCCGCAATCATTTTCCTAACAGAGCTATGTTCCTAATTGAGATGTTTCCTATTCCCAAACCCCCTTTATCCTTGGGCTTTCTAACTTGATCCCAATTAATCAGGTGATCCTTCCTCTCCTCACCTGGGTCCCAAAGGAAATCTCTCATGTATTTTTCTAACCTCCTTGCTACTCTATAGGGTATTCTAAAGGTTGAGAGGAAGTAAATAGGGAGGTTTGCCAACATGGCTCTAATCAATGTTATCCTTCCACCAAGAGAGATGTAATTCCTCCTCCACAGAGCTAGCTTCCTAGCAAATCTTTCAATGACTGGCTTCCAAAAACCTTTTGACCTAGGGTTCCCACCTAAAGGTAACCCCAAGTAGTTAATTGGCCAACTTTTAATCTCATACCCCAAAATCTCTGCAAATCTATTAAGTTCCCCTTCCTCCAGATTGATCCCTGCAATGCCTGTTTTGGTCCAGTTTATCCTTAAGCCTGTCATTCCCACAAAGTTATCCAATAGTAGCTTTAGATTAACCACACCTTCCTTGTTACCTCCCTCACAAAAGAAGATTGTGTCATCTGCAAATTGAAGGTGGGTAACAACCTCTTGATTTATACCTATCCTCCACCCTCTAATCAAACCTTGGAGGTCGGCTTTCGCCACCATTCTGCTTAACACCTCAACCACTAAAGTGAAGAGAAAAGGGGATAAGGGGTCTCCTTGTCTAATTCCTCTCTCAGCTGGAAAGAAATCCTTTGCTACTCCATTAATAAGAATTGAATAATGGGCAGAACGTAGACATCCTCTAATCCAAGACCTCCATTTGGTTCCAAAGCCTAACATTTCTGACATTTGAAGTAGCACTTCCCGGTTAACCTTATCATAAGCTTTCTCTAGGTCCACCTTACACACCAACCCTTTTCCTCTACCCTTTCTTTTTTTCGCAACACACTCATTGGCTACTAAAATTTGATCCACAATCTGCCTACCTTCCACAAAGGCACCTTGGAATGGTGAGTGAGTGAGTGTGGTGTAAACACAAATGCTGAGATGGATGTTTGGGAAAACTACAAAAGATAGGATCAGAAATGAACTTATTTGAAGGAGCCCAGGAATAGTTCCAGTAGATGATAAAATGAAGGAAAGTAGACTGAGATAGTTTCATCACATGGAGAGAAGACCATCTATAGAAYCGGTTAGTAAGTGATCTTCTGCAAGTTGAAGGGTCTATAAAAACTAGAGGCAGGCTGAAAAGCACATGGATTGAAGTAGTGAGAAATGATTTAAGGGTCCATAACAATTCTAATTCCGGTTTTGGATGGAATCTAGGGTTGAGGAGAACAATAAGGGATACGGATTTGGGCTGCCTGTCGTCTCCACTAGCCACCCTTGAAAATGTTTTCTTGGACCCGAGTAAGGATGACTCCAGAATTTGGACCCCGTCCTCCAATGGTTACTTCTCCTGTGCATCGTTTTTTGAGACCTTGGTCCATCCTCCTGCTCCCTCTGGCCTTTCCTTCCCTGTTAATGAGATTTGGAGTAAACCCATTCCTCCTCGGGTTGGTAGTTTTTGCTGGAAAACTTTCTTGGAAAGAATAAACACAACCGACTTGCTTCAAAGAAAGAGACATAATTCTTGCTTACTTCCCAATAGGTATGTTCTTTGTAAAGCTAATGGGGAAACGGCTTACCACCTTATGGTTACTTGTCCGGTTACTAAGACTATTTGGGAATGGGCTTCATCCTTTTTTGGATGCACTTGGAATCCCCCCGTGAGTTTGCAAAGCTCGTTCTCTCCCTTGTTCTCTAGATGGCCTAAGAAAAGAGGGAAGATCATGTGGAGAAGCATTAGAACAGCTGTGTGCTGGTCCATATGGGAAGAGAGGAACTCTAGACTTTTTTCAGACAAGGAAAGATCTATGGAGAATTTAACTGAATTGATACACTTAAGGGTCAGTCATTGGCTGAAATCTTTGGAGCTTTTTTCAGAGTTCTCCATAGCTGATCTTTTGAGA